GACACAATGCTTTCTTGTTACCCAGCATTCATTTATACTCATTGAAAGAGCTTAGACTAAGCATTGACTTTTAAAATCATATCATTCATGCACTTTCACAAAAAAGGAAAATACAAGTGAAATAAAGTAATTCTGAAATTTATTCACATCTAGAATCTGATTCTTCCAACTCAGCTTTTGACTTGGCGTTGGTGCCAGGTATGAGATAGGGAAGTCTGGGAAGAGCCAGTGTTAGGATTTGAACATGTGGAGCTTGTGACTCTGGAAGGCAGCCCAGCTCAGCAGCTCCACTCAAGGGCCAGATCTGGAGGACGAGGGTTGGGTCATTGTGCAACTATTTCCTAGATGATCTTGAGCAAGCAGTCTAATCTTTCTGTGCTTCAGTTTTCTCATCTATAAATTAGGAAGAATAAAAGCAACTTGTCAGAGTTGTTGAGTTGCTAATGTAAAGTGCCTGAAATAGTACCTGACTGACAGTATTTAACGGGGCTTACTTTGCTTATTATTTTTATGATTAGTCATCTGAGTAGAGAAAGGTGAATATGGATGGAAATTCAAGGTCAGGTTCAAGAAGAGGTTGGGGCCAAGTATGTAAATTTGGGAGTCATTTGCATATTGCTGATCTTTGAGGCATACAGTATGGATACAGAAGAGCAGGAGATGAGGAATGACCTGGGAGCTTTTGGCAAGGTGTTCACTTTGGGAGGGAGGGTCTAGCAATACCATTGAAAAGGGCTCTGTTTGAAGAAAGGAGAAACTAGTGAGAGTCTAGTGGCCTGGAAACCAAGACACCAAGGGGTTCTTCTTATTCTTCGTTGGCTGGAGAGTTTCCTGTTGACTTTGATAAGAGGTGGTTGTGAGTGACCTTGAGAGGTTTGGAGTGGTGGGGAGAGGAAACAGAGAGAGTAGAAGTGGGAACATCAGTGTAGACGACTATCTGTTGAAAGGGAAGAGTCATGGGATGGTGGCTGGAGGGGACATGGGCACAGGAAGTTTTTTTTGTATTTTTAAATGAGAGGAATGATAGCATGTTTATGAGCTAATAGGAATGATCCAGTAGAGGGAAACATTTATAATATGCCAGGAAAGAGGATAATGTTGGAGCCAAGTCCTTGAGAAGGTGAGAGGGAGGCAGGAAGAGCAGGGATGCTCAGCTCCAGAAGGGAGGCAGGACTTCAGGAGGGAGGCGGAACTTCTGCATGTGGGAGCCTGGACTGAGAAATACTCCTCAAGACATGCTGCCCTTTTGAAAGGAGGATAGAAAATAAATCATGGTGGTGTCCTCAGTCCTGAAAAGTTGGGAATCTCACCCTAGGACTCAGGATCCAGATTCTTACCAGCTTATGCTGAACATGCCATGGGGCATACTTACAGAAAGATACATGTGGAAATGGAGTTTTTTATTTATTTAAAAAATTCACTTTTCTCTAAAAGTATTGTTACCTGGAGGTTGTCACCTTTATTCGCCAAACTCAGTACTCAGAGGACTAGAAGACTTGGTGCCTGATTTGTTCTTGATTTGCCTAGCTGGGAATTTCAGTTTTGCATTTAAGATGACTCCCTCACCAATCCTACCCCCAGAGGAAAGCAGGTATTGTTGCTTTGGGCCTGTTGCATGTATATGTTTATGTTCCACTGGATCAGCAGCATTCAGTGAAATAAAGTTGCCTGTTAACTTGGTAAAATATCTTAACTGCATGAGTTTTGATTTGTTTTTGTGATTATTTGATTTTTTCAGGTTTGGAGTTTCAGAACACCCATCTTCTTAGTAGTTCAGCCAATGCGATGAAAGGCAAATAAGCCTTTTCCAGCTTCCTTGCATTCTCTCCATCATCTGTGCAGTGGAGAGTAGTTCCCATTGCTATAGAAACATTTTCCCTTCGTTCTTTTCTCTCAGGGGCAGGCTTTCCTGAGTGCCTGCTCTGTGTGAGTCATCATGGGAGGATGTGGTGGAGAAGGACAGAGAGGTCTGTGCCTCTTTGAGCTGACGTTCTGGTGGGGAAACTAAACAGATCACAGAGGCAGACACCATGTCTCACAACTACACACAGACCTGGCTTATCATGGTTCCAGTAATAATTTTTGACTTGACCATGGTACCCATACAGTCATTCTGTTTCTCACTTTCCGCATAGCATTCAATAGATTGCCTGCGATATTAAGTACTTTATTATAAAACAGGCTTTGTATTAGATGATTTTGTCCAACCGTAGGCTAATGTGAGTGTTCTGAGCACCTTTTAGGTAGGCTAGGCTAAGCTTTGATGTTTGGTAGGGTAGGTGTATTGAATGCTTTTTCAGGTTAGGATGTTTTCAACTTGTAATGGGTTCATGGGATTGGAACTCCACCATCAGTCAGGCAGCCCCTGTGCTATCTTTATCATCATGACTGAAGAGATGCAGCTGAGATAGGTGGCATCAGAGGGTGGCTCCTGGTGGAGGCATGATGTTCTGGGAAGGCCTCTCTGAGTGCGATGTGGTATGCTGAGGCCCAAAGGGAGAGAATGAGCTCATGTCAGGAGTGGGGACGGCAGCCTTCTGGGTAGAAGGATAGCCTGCCAGAGGGTCTGCTTATTAGAGGGGCCAGGATAGAACCAGAACCATTGTCCAGTCAGGGGCTGGGAGGTGAGGCTGGAGAGACACGTGGGCCAGGTGCTGCAGACTCAGAGTGCTTTCAGCCAGGGGGTGAAGAAGTGCAAGAGAAAGAATGGAGGCCTGGGTTGGCGCTTTTGCCACGATTTCGTGGGGCAGAGGTGGCAGAGCTGGAGAAAAGAGACCAGTTGTGAATTCTTGGTTGTGGGCAATAGATCGGATCTTGGAGACAAGGGAAGTGGAGGGACCAAGAAGTGCTCTTGGAACTCTTTGGATGGTAATGATGTGATGCCGCCGTGTTCCAGAGGATCTCAGGTGAGGAGTCTTCAACTATAGACCTCATTTTGTATTGGGTTCTGTTTGATTCTGCAAAGCAGTTATCACCTCATATGTGACTTGCAGAATATTTGTATAGATACTCCTCAACTTACGATGAGGTTCATAACTTGAATATATTGTAAGTTGAAAATACATTTAATACACCTAATGTTCAAAATTAAATGTACACTTTCTAGTAAATGTGTATCACTTTCACACCATCATAAAGTAAAAAAAATGTAAGTCAGACTGTTGTAAGCCAGGGTCTGTCTGTACCTTCCCACGGCCTACAAAATTTGTAATACATTGTTTGTAAAACACAGACACATGCATTTAAACTTTTATTAGGTAGAACTGGCTCTTCTTCAGGGTCCTTGTAATTAAGTTATTCCTCACGACAGTCTTGTAGGAGGTCTCATTACCCCTATTTATCAGATCAGGAAACTGATGCTAAGAGGCTCAGTGACGTCCTAGGAAAGCTGGATAATATTTAACATTTATTAAGCTCTTACTATGTGTCAGACATGGTAAAGTGGATTTAATCTAGGTTAATCCTCATGATGATCTTAGGATGTTGCTATTAAGGGTCACTGTCATCATCCCTTTTTACTGATAACACTGGCCTGGCTTACCTTAGTAGCCTCTTAACAGATCTCTTCTTCCACTCCTGGTCTCCTTCAGTCTGTTCTTGACCAACAGTCAGATCTGTGTCTCTACATGGAAGACATCATGTCATTCTCCTGCTCAGAGTCCCCCTGCAGCCTTCTTTCCTGCTGTCCCTTCCTGCCACTCAGAGCCATGGCTCCAGCTGTCTTGGGGCCTATAGCTAGCCCTCACTTCAGTGTTCACACACCGCTGTGTGCTGTGTGCCCTGCTCACCATTCTGTTTATTTCTGCCATCTGTACCCACCACTCCCTTCCTCCCCACACAGCCTGCCTGGCCAGAATGGAAGCCTCAGGAAGGCAGGGCTATTGCTCTGAATCTATCCTGAGGGCTCAGAGCAATGCCTGGCAGACAGACACTTGTAAGCCTTTGCTGAAGGAGAGAATAACTATAACTTACTTTTTCTGTAGGTAATAAGTAGTAGAACCAGCATTAAGTTTATCTGCTTCTGAAAACATATGCTTTTGCTGCCTCCCTACACTGCCCCCCATCCTATTGTACTTGGTGAATCAGTCATATATTTATGCCCCATATGTCTGTGTTATCTCCAGATTTCCACGCTTGTCTATGTAGAATATAAACATTTACAAAACATTCAAAATTATTATAAAACCATAAAATGTGACATAGTAAATTATCTGTTGAAAACAGGGAGGCCACATCCTGAAAAAGTAGCTCTGTCCTGCCAGCATCATTTTAACCCCATTTGGACAAGATACAGTTGAAATACATTCTCTGAAGTAATAGTTATAACTACATCTTGACAGAAACAAGAATATTTCGAATAATTCTGGGAGGATTCAGGAAAAGGCAGCCAAATAAAATGAAAAAATACGTTTGATTTGGCCGGGCGCGGTGGCTCACACCTGTAATCCCAGCACTTTGGGAAGCCAAGGCGGGCGGATCACAAGGTCAGGAGATCGAGACCATCCTGGCTAACACGGTGAAACCCTGTCTCTACTAAAAATACAAAAAATTAGCCGGGCACGGTGGCGGGCGCCTGTAGTCCCAGCAACTCGGGAGGCTGACGCAGGAGAATGGCAGGAACCCGGGAGGCGGAGCTTGCAGTGAGCTGAGATCGCACCACTGCCCTCCAGCCAGGAGGACAGAGCGAGACTCCCATCTCAAAAAACAAACAAACAAACAAACAAACAAAAAAAAACTTTTGATTCAACTGTGGAGGCTTAAAGGAATTACACATCTTTTTTGTTTTTTTGTGACAGCGTCTTGCTTTGTTGCTCACGCTAGAGTACAGTGGTACAATCATAGCTTACTGTAGCCACAACCTCCCGGGTTCAAGCGATCCTCCTGCCTCAGTCTCAGCCTCCTAGGTAGCTGAGTCTACAGGTAGATGCCACCACACCCAGCTAATTTTTGTATTTTTTGTAGAGACAGGGTTTTACCGTGTTGCCTAGGCTGGTCTCGAGCTCCTGGACTCAAGGGATCCAATTGCCTTGGCCTCCCAAATTGCTGGGATTACAGGCGGAGCCGTTGTACCTGGCCAAGAAAGCATCTCTTATAAGCTGTTTTTGGTCAAGGAGCAAATAGGAAAGTGTCCCAGAATTTGGGAGATCAGGAATGTAATCCCAGCCCTGCTTCTGAACAGGATGGTGCATTCTCTTCATGGCTGTGCTGCGGGCTCCTTGGATGTGGAATGAGGGCAGTTGAATTGCTTGTTGCCGAGGTTCTCTCCATTTCTAGAAGACTGTTGTAAGTCAGAGTCAAATAATCATTCATTCAGTTATCCAACCAATATTCATCGTAGAACCTATGTGTAGTCCTGTCTAATGTAGGTGGTGCTACGCCACTTCCTGCCATGGCTGCCGAGGCTCACGCGAGGCTGGCACTTGGCACAGAGTCATGTCCCTTTTCTTGACTCAGTAACTGTGGAAAAAGGTGAGGTATAGGAAGGGGGGGCATAGGCCTTAGGGGTTAAGCAGGCTTAGGTGGCAGGATCTAGAGGGTTGGAATGATGGATTCAGAGTCCAATAGAAAACATGAAACTCTAGGGGATTAGAATTGATCCCTTTCTCTGTTTCCTCAGTCTTGGGGGACTAGACTGTGTTAGTTGTCTTGAATTAAATGGAGCAGGGATTTTTTTCACTTCTGTAAGTCCAGAGCTTATCATAAGCAACCAGAGGTAATTCAATAGTAGTTAATATTTCATTAACCCTCACTTCTAAAATTATAAAGCTAGAAGTGGAGGTCTTTAACATATATATCAGTCAGGCTGCGGAGTAAGTTGGAAAGTTGCATTTTATTCCTGTGTGTTTACGTATGGCAGTGCACATAAACCCAGTTTTGTTTCTTTTTCTTTGATTAGTAACAGTTGGGCACAATGTGTCCAACCCACCCAGTGTTAAGTCACTTAGAGTGAGTTGATTTCCTTGAAAAAAGGAATCTTTTCAAGGATGTCAAGTGGCTTCTCGTGGTCTTCGTGAGGCTCTGGAGTCAGGCACAATACCTGGTTACCCTGGGACCATGTACAGTGAGCCTGGGCTGCCGGATGCCGCTGGTGGGCCCTCTGCCCGCTGCTGCATCCCCAAGCCCTCTCCTGTCTCATTGTTTTCCCTTTTCAGGAATAGATTCCACTAGGGACCTGCTCCCTCCAATTTCTGTCATTTGAGGTGAGGTTTTGTGTGGGTTCATCTGACTGGCTGAGTGCACCCTGGCTGTGAGAACAGGAAATAGAATTCTGGCTTTTGTCTTAGGGATGTCCCCAGGTAGAGAGAGGGGATTCAAAAGATGCTGGGGAGCTACAGATGTGACCTCTGACCTCTACATGAAGAATGGTGGGAAACAGCGTTAATCTACACATTTCACTTGGTTTAGACCTAAGCATAAATAGCATGAAGTCAATCTAAACAGAGGTTAGAGTTTCCAGAGACTTCAGCACCCCGGCTGCACTTAAACAGCAATTATTTGACTCTTTACGTCCCCTCTATTCTAGATATGAATGAAAGTAGTCACATCAAATGCATATTTATTAGTCTTGGTCATTTTGAATTTGAGTCCTTTACATACTATGTATTTATGTACCCAGGAGCAGAGCAGGTTAAAAGTGACATCTTCTGACTTCTACTCTGGAATTTTTTCCCTCTGCACTTTTTGGTGTCACGTAGTAGATGTTTTCACCCACATGCAGGTGAATGAGTGACATATTTATCTCGTTCATAGTGAAGCTTTCTATTCTTTAATTTTATCCCTCTAATGAAACTGTGAGGAATTGATTATATTTACACAGAAAGGGCTGGTGTCACGTGAACCTACAGGAAGTCATTGAGCACATGCCTGTCCCGCAGAACTGACATATAGCGTCCTGTGCAGCTCACCTTGAATTCTCCATGCACGAATTAGCCATAGGCGCGTGTTGTGTGTGGCACAGGCAAGAAGTGCCTGCTAGATTTTAGTTCTGTTTATCGCTGGAAGCACTTGCTGTAGGAAAAGTAAGGTTTTTTTTCCTTTATTTGACAATGATTTTGAGCTATGCTGTAGACTGGAAAAGGCAGGCTTTGATTCGCCAGACACTGCTTGCTATGTGTGAAGCCGGGATAGGGCGATGCTGTTGGACAGAAGACCTACCTGCCCTGTGTGCCTTTTCACACTGCATCGAGAATTTATCTAGATGATTTCCTGGGCTTATTGATCGTTGAAGGAAACAATGCAAATTGCAAGTTGTGATCAAATAATGCTTTGAGTGTTCACCTTTTTAGAATGCTCTGGGAAAATATGGGCGGAAAATAAACCGCAGGAAAGGCATTCTAAGGCGGTTTTGTTTTGTTTTAAACAGCTACCATGAAATGCACCCTCTGTAAGAGGACAATTCAGTGATTTTCTGAATGTCTGAGTTGTGCGGACATCACCACAGCCTAGTTCTTGAACACTCCCGTCACCCCAAATGCTCCCTGTGCTTGTCTACAGTTGATTCGCGCTCTCAGCCCAGCCACCGGCAACCACTCAGGCAGCCCGCCTGCTCTTTCCACATGTGCCTTGCAGACGTTTCACAGGAAGCAACTCATGTCCTGTGTAGTTGTTTGCATCAGGCTTTCACTTAACATGTTTTTCAGGTACATCTGTGTTGTAGCACGTATCAGTAGTTTGTTCCTTTTACTAGTATTGGCATAGCATGTTCGTTTATCCTGCTCGAGCGATGGACTTTGGGTTGTTTCTGCATTTTGGCCGTTATGAATCATGTGACTTTGAACATTAGCAAGCATGTCTGCGTGTGGATGTGTATTTTCATTTCTCATAGGTAGATTCCTAGGTGTTCATAGGAGCTTCGAAATGGAGTTTAAGACAGAAGTCTTTGTTTGATATTGATAATGCTAGCAAGGGCCATTTATTTGGTTTCAGATGGCTTGCTCTTGAAGTCTGTCTCTGTGAGGTGCACTGTGCTTCTTGAATTGTATGAACCTATTTCTTCTAGGATGAAATATGGTTATAATGTGGAGCAGTGGCTATTAGCATTTCTTAAGATGACCACCCTTTGTTGGTGCACACTATTAGGTTCTCAACAGATGAGTTCTTCCCTGGTGTTTGATGTTTTCCCCCCAACTTATCAGAAGAGGATGTCAATGAAGTACTGTTGGGCATATTCAACCTACAACACCACATAAACACTTACCCTTTGACCCAGCAATTCTACTTCTAGGAATCCTTCCAGAAGATAGACCTCCAACAATATGAAAATGCGCTGGGAATAACCTAAATATCCATATGCAGGAGAAGGTTGAGTAAACTCTGGTATAGCCACACAACCACATCCACTGTTGAGGATGACCTCTGTGAATTGGTTCGAGGTGGTTTTCAGGGCACGCGGATGTGAACAAGGCAAATGCCAAAGAACATCTAAATGCTGCCCTTGACGTGACAAGAAGGGGATGCAGGAAAACACATGCTCCCTGCACACTTGTGCAGAGGAGATACGGGAGGGCAGAGCCAGAAACAAAAGAGATGGCGACTGCAGAGGGCGAGGGGACGGAGGAGGAGTGGGTGCCGGGTCGTAGGTGGGGTGCAGAGGGCGAGGAGGTGGGGAAGTGGTGTGGGTGCTGGGTCGTAGGTGGGGGGCAGTGCTGCTCTCAGTACACCTTTTAGTGTGGCCCAGCTGCTGAAACCATAGCAGTACTTCATACACTCCAAAGTAAAATAGATGGTTAGTATCAGCAAGGATGTGGGGGACTCAAAATGAAATATAAGCCGAAAACACACATTTCACTGTAGTATAAAGCGGCAGAGCCACAGTGAAGGGGGTGGAAAGGCAAGTGTTAACCTTATTTGGGAAAATGATGTGTTGACTGGATTTTGTGAGACTGAAGAGAACTGTACAAAATAGAAGTAAATTTTTTTCTCAGTGTTAATGTTGAGCAGTGTGAAACGACTTCATGTGTATGTGGGGATTGAACAAGTAAGCAGACTCATAGTAGATAATGAGAGCCAGGCTTCTCACTGTCCCAGGAAGAAGTTACAAATAAGGAAAGGAAGATGGCAGAGGGAGCCCGTGCTGTTGGATTGGATTCAGGTGTCAGTGTGACCCTGTGGTCTTTAATATATGCACATACCACACAGAAGTAAATATAGGTGTACACATTACATGCATGGGTTAGTGATGTACCTACACATGCATCTCCTAGCTTTCTCCGTTGGGAAGACCTAGAAGCGATGACTTCCAGCAACAGGTAGCACATCTAAGTATCAGTTGCCGATAAAAATAAGCAGGGCTCCTTGCAGAAGATGAGTCTGGAAGCTCTGATGATACTGGAAATAAGGAAGTGCCCAAAAAGGATGCGGTGTGTCAGAGGCACATAAGCAACCGGGAGGAGCCCCATGGCCAAAGCGGGGTCAGTTTGAGCAAGGAAATGTGTAATGATAGTATAGGTGTATAATCTATAGAACAAAGTCAGTATCACTACCTATTGATATAAGAAGACATTGAAAAAATGAGGGAGAAGGGGCATCTCTTCCTGACAGAAACATTCCAATTAATTGGTGTAGGAGCAGTGAGAAAGTAGAAAATCGCCTTCAGGCAGCCAGCACTACAGAAATAGTTAACTTCAGGCAAGTTCCGCGGGAGAATGCTGATTAGTGGGCCAGAGTTTGGAGAGAAACAGGATATTTGCCTAGTCTCGAAGTATCTCTTCCTCAAGTTGTTTATTTATTAAAAAGGGAAAAATAGTAACTTTAGAATGGAGGAAGCCAGCAGATACCACGTCACCCAGGCGATCAAGATCAGCATCACCTGACGAGACAAGTTGCCATCATATGCAGCCCCACACCACAAGCCGTGCGCTCTCTCAGGGACTCCTGCCACAAATGCACAATCACAGTCTAGTCATGGGGGAATATCAGACGGTCCAGTAGAGGGACATCCTGCAAAATACCTCATCAGTGTTCTTCAGAAGTGTCCAGGTCATGAACACTGGAAACACTGAGGATTGGGCTCAGCTTAGAGACCCGATGACTAACTGTGGCCTGTGATTCTGGGCAGAATCCTGGAACAGAAGCTGGTATTGGTGGAGAAACCACCGAAATTCAGATGAGGTCTGTGGAGTAGCCAATTGTATTGTGCCAGTGTTTATTTTCTGATTTCGATATGTCCTCCCAGCTCACAACATATAGATCTGTGATTGATACATACTTCTCCTCATGCTCACAACTTACAAATCTAAGATTTTAGAGGAAGCTGGGAGAAGGACATAGGGGAACTCTCTGTACTATTTTTCAGCCTTCCCATAAGCCTAAAATTTCAACATAAAACATTGAAAAAGAAAGCACATAGCCAAATATGATGGGAGAATGGCAGAAATGGCAGGGCCAGCCACTACCTCGGTTTCTTCCCATGTGAAAGTGTTTACCTGATTTATCTTGGTCTTTGGATTTGGTCGATTTTTTTTTTTCTAAAAGAAATTTTAAATATAGTCAAATTTATCAGTTTTTTTCCTTTATTGCTTTTCGGTTTTGAATCCTAAGAATACTTTCCCTACTTCAATAATCATATTTTTCTTTAATTTCTTCTAATAGATTTTATTTTGTTTTTCACATTTAGCATGTTGATCTATATGAAATTTGTTTTTGTACAGTTTGAAGTTGGGATATTTTTTCAATTGGCTAATCATTTGCCTTAGTCATTGAGTAGTCTGCCCTTTGCCCAATTATCAGAAATATCACCTTTATCCCTACTAAATGCTTTCTTTCAATGACATTTCAAATGGCTTATTATTCTTGTGTGGAAAAGTGATTGGTTTTTGTATGTTGTGTCCACAGCTCGTCATTTGTGTCTCATGTTTTCTAGATAGAGGATCCTTTTGGGAACATGCATCTTCCTAAGCTTTGTACTTCCCCTGTATTAATTGGCTAGGACTTCTGGTACTGTGCTGAGTGTAGTGTTTGGATCATAGTGATGGCTAGCAGGCTGCCTCTCGTTCTTGTCTTTGGTGTGAATCCTTCCAGTATTTCATCCTTAAGTGTGATATTACTCTAGTTGTTTTGTATATACCCTTTATCTTGTTTAGCATGTTACCTTCTCTTCCTGGTTTGCCTGAGAGTTCTTTTAAAAATAATCTTTATCATGAGTGGCAGTAGAATTTTACCATATGTGCATCTGTTGAGATGATCACATGGTTTTCCCTCCAGTCTGTTAATATAGCAAATTTCATTAATAGATTTCCTGATATTAAACATTCCTGCATTCTGGGGAAAATCCTACTTTTAACACAGTGCAAAATTAAAATTGCTATTTATTTTAATACCTTCAATTTTTTCTAAATGAGTCTCTCCCCAGCCCTACCTCCAGCCTTTTCATTTTTGTCACGTGGTTTACATGTTGTAGTAGCTACATAGTGGTGTAAGTGCTTAACACCTGGCTTTTGGTGGCAAGGAGGGGTGGGAATGTGTGGAAACCCCTGATTTGTAGCATTTGCCAATGTCCAAGGTATAAATGTCTCTACCATGCCCTATTTGAAGCTACCAATGAGCTGTCAACTGGTTTACAAAATGCCTGAAAATGTGACAGTCTTCTCTTCTCTCCTGAACGGGTGTAATACGCACACCAGTGGGGCCTGCGTGTGCATCCTGGTGACTCTCATGTCTGTGAGCACTCGCGCAGCCATCCCCGGGACCAACCTGGAGGCTTCCTGGCACCTGTGCCGTTCAGCCTCCTACCCTCCCCAGGAGGACCCAGGAGGGCCCCGGTTCTGACCTCTCTCCACCTTTGTTCTCACTTGGGGATTTAATACCTTGTTTGTTTTCACGTCATCCTGGTTTTCTCTTCTGTGCACATACAGCTCTACGGTTTCCCGCCAAGAACTGCCTTGGCCACCTCATTTATAGATAGCAAAATACAGGGTTTGTAATGATTTTTATTGAAAAATTGAGCATCTGATTATTATTGTGGCACTGGCTTTATTAAACAATGTAGGTTCTGTGATAACTTTTCTTAAATGTGGGGCATTGCTGCCATCTTATATTCATGAAGTTCATCAACTTCGTTCATCTAAACTGACGTTTTTCATTCATGTGTTTATGCAATCATTGAATAAATATTTTTTGAGCACTTTGGATACCAAAGGTATAGCAGTGAATGAAATAACTCAGTCCCTTTCTTCACAGAGCATATGTTCTGCTATGTCTTTAAGTCACGTGTTTTTTCTATTTGACCGTCCTTGCCAATTTTCCCCTAACTCAGACATCCACTTGCCTTTGCTCCTGGTATTATCTTAAATCAACTCTAAATCAATCCGATTTCTTCCACTGCTTTAGTACTAGTTGATGTTTGGCTTAACTACTTATATAATTATTTCTGCTTTTATTGAATTCTTATGATGAAAAGACAAGAGACTTGAATCTGGTGATTTTTGCTTTAAAAGGTTGATGATGAAAGGGTTGTAATAGCACAGTTTGGTGAAATGGCACTGTTGTGTTGCGTGAACTGTCATCACTTAGTGAGGAGCAGGAGATTAGCTTACAGTTTTCTACTATAGTTCTGGACATCATGAGACCTTATTCCCCACCAGCATGGTCTCTGTCTATGGCTCAGAGGGAGAGCAGTAGGGATATGGGGTGCTATTCACAGCCTTGCCTGGGTGACTGTGTCTTCTGGCAGCTTAGTGGCTCCCGGGGCAGGATCCTGGTCACCAGCATCCTACAGCATTGCCACACGTTTGCTGATGTTCTGGTGTCCTGTGGAGTAGAGCTCCTTGTTCTCCTGTGGGCCACAGTCCAGGGAGACCTGTGGGCCACAGTCCAGGGAGAGCGGGGGTTTCCCTGTAGGAGGAGGAGCTGGAAGACTCCAGATCGAGTTTAACCGTGGGCTAGGCTGGGAAATTTGGATGCAGGCCAGTGGACCTCAGAAATCCATCTGTTCATCTTTCTGCTAAACTGATTTGGATTTCTGCTTTTTAAATCCTTTGCACAATTAATTTGTCTTTAGTATGAAAATCAGTGTTTTATTTTTAGTAAGGGAAAATAATTCTATTTTATTTATTTGGAACAATTTAAAAGACCCTAGAGATCAATATCCTTCCTCTTTCATTTCCTAGAGGAGGGTGTAGAGGAGCAGTGTGTGTGACAGGCACAGCGGGACTGACCTTTGCTTCTGGGCCTGGATCACCATGTCTGGAGAGTGATGCTTTGGAGGAAGTATGGGTCACTTTGCTCCTGGGCCGTTGGTTCAGAAGGTGCAGACTTGCCCGGAGCTGAGCTCCAGTGCTAGCAGCACATTCCCTCTCCTTGCCCTGAGCCTGCATGGCAGCCTTCTTCATCAGCTGGAATCTCTGTTGAGGATGGAGAAAAATCTGTGGTCCTTTTGTTTACTTGGTGACTTTCTGACCTCTCTCTTTCCTCAATCTCTCTACTGCATTACAACTGGCTGATGAGAGAGATTTAAAAAATAAACATAAACAATTTTTATGGAAATATCTGTTATCTGTTATTTTTGATATAGTTATACCCTTGGAATTTACTCTTACCTTCCGGTAACAGTTGTGAGGACCAAATCTTAATTCTAGTAGGTGACCTTTAAATCTTAGAATCAGGAATTCAGCTTTAGTTAAAAGTTAACTTTTTCCCTATTATTGTGCTCCTGTTGGATTTTTAAAAATGGATACATTCTATTTATTGGTATTTACAAGTCATTTGACTAGACTTATACTAATAGTATGACACAGGAAAACCAAAACATCTTTTTGTAAATATTGAAGTAATGAACAATATTAGGGATTGTTCCAAAACAGAGAAGACAACGCAGAGGAAAATCAGTCAAGCTCTTTATAGCTTAAATCTAACCCTTTACCTGAGTAATAATTTAAAAAACTGTTTTATAAATCAAGCCTCCCATTCCTGTAAAATAGGAGTGATTCATCATCACACATTTGTACTTAAATTTTTTTTTCTTGATGGAGCCCAAGTCTTAAAGATGTCAAAACTAGTATCATGTTCCATTTTCTAAAGTCGAGGCTATCTCAGTCCCATTTCTATAGCCAACAGGGTAATCTGTTACTGGGCCCTGAAACCCTTCTGATGAGTCTCAGCTTATACCCCACCCCACCCCCCTGAATATTCACACAATAGGCACAGTGAAAACCAGGAAATTCGTCTCTGAAATAAGCAGCCTCCAGAGGAAGGAAGCAGCTCGGCTGCTGCCCATACTGCGCCTGGACCTCGGCCCCCGGCAGTTGGCTTCAGGAACCGCCTACCAAGGAAGGAAGCAGCTCGGCTGCTGCCCATACTGCGCCTGGACCTCGACCCCCGGTACTTGCTTTAGGAACCTGGACGGATCCCAGGCAGTTTGCGGGGTGCGCTTTCGCTTTCCTCACCAGTTCTCAGGGCAGCCTGGAGTCTCAGGGAGGAGAATGTTGCAGGCCCTAGATCTGGGGCTACAGGGACTTTTCTCACAACTCCAGGCGAGGGCGCACCGGGCTTGGCTCTTCTAGGTCTGGCCATTGCTCCCGTTGGCAGGTGTCCACAGGCATCTGCCTGACGTCCTTGACAAGAGGAAGAGAGGAGCTGGCTTTCTGTGGGTGCTGAGCCCTCTGGGCCACACAGCTGCTGTTCTCAGACTTGTGGGTTTTTCTGCCGCCTCTCATGTTTCATGCCGTGACTCTGAAACTAGGTCTTAACCTGCTTGGAGTGAAGGTTTGGGGTATTGGGAAGTTCTGTCCTCTTCTTTCAGGAAGAGGCCCTTTGACTGCGTGCCCGGAGGAGGCATGAGGCATGAGTGCGTCTTTTCTCCAGGGGGCTCAGGGGTATAGGATGACTGTGCTGCAGCCCCAGGAATGTCAGGGTGAAGAGGCCCTGGAGGCTGATGCTTCCGGCCAAGGGCTTCTCCTGGATTTTCAAATAAAGTCCCAGAACAGAATTACTTTGTGTTTTAATTTCGGGCAGATGTCTCTCATCTGCCCTTTTAAGTACATTAGGATTGGGTTTTTTGACCCTGCACAGCACAAGGGGGCTCCTCAGAAAAGTGTCTGATAAGATAAAATTAAATAACTCGCTTTTTAGCACTTGGTTTTGACTGGTGATTTGTTAGTTGTTGATTGAGGCGATTGTGACTGATCAAATTATTTGTCTGCCCATCCTGATTGTTACTTTATTTACAGAATTTTAAAAGGTAGTTTCTTGATCTTAATGTTATATTTAATGTTCTCTTTCATAAGATGGTTTTTTGGTGATTTTGTGTTTAAAAAGTGAGGGTCTTTTGAGAAATAGAATATATCAAATTATTTGTTCAGAAACATTCCAAAGTATTTTTTCTAACTCTGCAAGCAGTTTTCTGTTAAAGCAGGTAGTGTGTACCTGATTAGAGCTCTGTTCAAGATCCCTCACTGATAATCTCTGTGAGGCTGTTGGTCCGTGTCTTTATCGAGCAGTGGTGTGGCTTCCCAGGTACTGTCAGCTCATTTTAGACCCAATACTAGTTTATTGCCTGAAATTACCTTTAAACTGGAAAATCTTCAAGTAAAATTTTTGAGTTTTTGATTTATTCCCTAGGATACTTTTGAATGGCAGGTTTCAGGGAGATATATTTGGTTGTTTTGGCACCGCTACCATCAGCCACATTCATGTGCTGCCAGGCGCCCCGCCAGGTCAGGGAGCATCCTCTGTACACGGAAGCAGCCCCAAGCACTATGTCTGCTTGTGTTTCTGTTCTCAAGGTTTCTGCGGCCCTGCGTGTGGGCCCTGCTGAGGCCCCAGACATGCATGGACTCACTTCTTCCTCACACAGCTGACCTGGTGGGCTTCCTGTCCCCACAGCTCCCCTTCCTGTCCTCCCATCCAGACTCTCGCATCATGTTGAGGGCAGAGAGAGGGGCAAATGAGACATGGTCCTTGCTTTCATGGAAATGTCTAGTGATGCAGATCTCTGTGTATCAAGTAATCACACAAACAGATGTAAAGTGGTAGCTGTGATGAAGGAAGACAAATTGAAGACCTCCATCAGCGGAGGGGCCCGGACGCTCACTGAGAGGCGAGGTTTGCACTTGGTCTCCTTGCTGAAAGCTGGCAGCCTCATTCTGCTGCCCATGTGCTGGGCACCTTCTCCACTATCACAACTTCCTCAACATTTCTCTTCAATCTGTTCTGTTCAAGTTTTGGCCTTCTATCCCTCTGAAATGGCTTTTGCTAGTCACTAATGATCTGTCTCTTGTTAAGGTCAGTGGCCTGTATTTTGTCCTGGTCTTAATCAGTGTCTCAGCAAGACTGTACAGAACTGACTAACCTCTTGGATTCTGTGGGCTGTGCCAACCTGGCATCCTTCTGGCTCAGTCTTCTGTGCAGGTCCCCCTGCCACCAGGAGCCCTGCAGGTGCAGCCTATCTGCCCCCAGCCCAGGCTGCACTCCCTGCTTGCTGTGCGTGTGATGCCCCAGCCTTTGCCCTGAGCAACACAGACTTGCTTGAGCTCTGGATCCCTTCCCCGGGCTCCTGTCCATCATGCCTCCTTTCAGTTTCCCACAGTGACCATTGACTCAGACCCAACCCAGAGGTTTTTCTCTGCCCCCTTTTTCTGTTAGCTCTTCCTCAGAGGCATGGGGCTGGGACAGGGGTCTCACACTGCCATCCGCATTTCCTGAGGCTTCTGTCTCTCCATCCTGCTGTTTCAGAGTGCATGTTTCCTTCTCGTGCTTGGCTCCTTGGGTCATGTCTCCAGCCTGATGTTCCAGCTGAGAGGTGGTGAGGCAGGAAGGGGTGGTCTCTGCATCAGGAAAGTGATAAGGAGTTCAGGAAACTCGGTGTCTCTCATTGGCTGGAAGAGTATTACATGACTACCTCTGGTTGCCTGGATGCCTGGGGCAGGGTCTGTGCTCAACAACATCAGGCTCTGTGAGTTAGGGTCTCCTGCAGCCAGATCAGCAAGGAGCTATAGGCTGTAAGTCCTAGTTCCTGACTGAGGGAGGCTTAAAAAGTGCGGTTGTTGGGGCTTTATATTTGCACCCGTTTTTTACCCCCTCAAGTTCCGGACCAGTTGAGAGAGCCGCACACACTGTAGATAGGCAAGTGGAGATCAGATACAGGCTCTGTTTTAGATAAAATGAACTAGAGAAAGTGGCTGACTGGGCAAGTGGGTTTGCTAATCCTTTATCCCAAATTAGACAAACTTTCCACCTAGTAACGAGCATGGCTGGGGGCAAGCCCCTTCCACGTGGCAGGAGAAGAAACCCTAGCACTTTGGTGTGGGTGCGCCTAGCCCAAGAGGAGAGGAGGACTGGCTGAGCTAAGCAACCCATTTCCTCCTTCTACATGCCTCCTTCTGCAGGAAAGAGTCGTGAGCTGGATTATGTCCACAGGGAACAGAAGGGCAAGGGACAAGTGCTCCCTTTGCTCTGAGGAAGAGTTTTGCATATCTCCTGTTGGAAGCCTGGAAGCTGGGCAGTCTCAACCCCTACACCAGCTGTGCCAGCCCTGCCTGTCTTCCTGCAGGTCTGGGCTGGCTGCTGCGGGCCTGTGTCCTCACACTGCCCTGCCCTGAGGCTGTTGGAGGGGCAGCCCCAATTCTTCCCCTCATCATCCACTCTCCTTTCCCTTTAGGGACAGTGGTTCCTGTCTCTGAAACTGCTTCTGGTGAGCCATCCCTCCAGAAAGAACTGCTATTGTCCCCACGAACTTCCTTGAGGCCTCCCTGGTCGTTCCTGGGGTGATCATACTATAGAAAGACTCCATCATTGTCACCCAGAAGAGCTCCTGAGAGACGAGGGAACCTCTGGGAAGCCATCTTGGGCTTTGGGAGGAATTTTCTCCTCTTTTTAAATGTTCCCAAGTAGCTTCCTCTTCAAGTCTGGTTTCTTTTGCCTGTTTTCTGCTGGGAACTAGATGTAATTCCCCTCCTTCCTCAGCATCACCCTTTAGGTACGAGGCGGGTGGGGTTGGCCCTTTCCATTCTTTAAGGAGAGTGTTTTCCACTGTGAGATGGTCACATACCTTCCCTTTGGTAACAGGACAAAAGAGCAAATGCTGAAAAAACTAAGCTTATGAGCTTTGGGGAAGCCTGATGTGTAAATGAGGGAGGCCAGCATGATTTTCGGGCTGATGGATTGGTGCCCCCTCCCAATTTGAAAACTAGTCAGGAGATACCGAGGCCCTGTGTGATGTGGTACAAAGTATAAGGTGTTGGCCATGGTAGAGAATTGTGATTTTTTTTCTTTCTGGAGGTGGGAAGCCACTGTGTTGGGGGCATGAACTCAGAGTTGTGCCATGGAAGGGTCCCTGTGGCAGGAGAACACGTGGAGAGCAGACGCTGAGGGGTCGCTGTACAGGCAAGGGTGATGGAGCATGGCTGATGGGGACTTCAGACACATGTGCGAGGTTCTGAGGATGCCTGGGTGCTGGCCATGTGGTAAGATGGAAGGCAGTGCCTACGACTGGACAGCTGGGAGGGAGCCCACTGTGGAGGGTGGGGAGGGTAGGCTAGCAGGTCTGTTAGGGTGTGCTGACTTGGGGGCACTTAAGGGGAGCTGTCAGGGAGGCCACTGGGTGGAAGTAATTCCAGAGACAAACCGCTGCTCCCTAAAGGAAAAGGAGAGTGCCTTTGCCTTTCGACCTAAGCTCCATGTGGTCCTCTGCCCCAGCCCGCTAGGCAGCCTCCCCTGCTCCCCACTGATGTCACACAGGTGTCACAAAATGAGCATCTGAAACCAGAACTTCATTTTCCTAAATTTCCTAGCCTTTCTCCTTACAATGAACGTCAACAACACCCACCCAGCTGCTGGAAACCTGGCAGTCGTCCTAGCCACCTCGCTTTCCCTCACTGTCACACCCAGTCCCCTCGAATATTTGTGCCTGCTGTCCCTGCGTTCACTCCCTACCTAGGTGCCTGCCTTTCCATGTCTCCCTGCTGTCCAGCAGCTGGCAGGTCATTCCTGCCCTGTACTTCCAGCCCTACAGACCCACCAGGGCATCTGGAATACAACTGTGACTTCCTCCTCACCCGAAGGCTGTGCTTGACCCGGCTCCCATCTGTCTCCAGACCCCCTTGGAGCACTCTCCCAGGTCTGCTGCAGGCCCATGGCCTCCTCCTTTGGACCACTTGCCCCATCTCTGTCCAGGGGCTGCTCACAGCTTTCTGGAAGTTTCTTGCCTGGGCTTTGCTTATTCCCAACTAGTGGCTTTCCATGTGTGCTCTTCCTCTGCTGACGGCCCCTCCTGCCCCAGCGCATCATATGACGGTTGTCTCCCATCCCGTCCTGACCTGCCTGTTTATGGAGGCATCCTCTAGGTTCTCAGTGGAGAGGCAGCCAAGGAGTGGTTGGGTGCC